TTTCCCCCAAAGCCCCAGTAGATAGTTGTATGTCATAGTTGCACATCCTTCTAGTTGCTGTATGTGGGACGCGGCCTCAGCATGGCCGGAGAAGCAGTGCTTCGGTGCGCACCTGGGATCAGAACCCCAGCCGCCAGCATCGGAGCGCACGCACTTAACCGCTAAGCCACAGGGCCAGCCCAGGGCTCCTCTTCTTATGTGTAGCTTCAGATAAGTAAGAGAAAGTAGTGTTGCAGAAGCCAAAGGGAGAAAAGGGATTTCAGGAATGCTGAAGTAGTTGAAATCAGTTGCTGTTGAGACTAAAATAAGATAAGGACTGAAGATGACCATTGAATTGGGCAATTAAAATGTCATTTTGACTTCATTGAGAGCCGTTTTAGAGGGCTAGTGGAGGAGAGAAAGGCAGATGAAGATGTGGGAGTGTCCATTTTGAGAAGCTTGGCTGTAACGGAATGATAAAAGGGCCATAGGTTGAAGGAGGGTTGAGGGACAGTTGTTTTTAACGTGAGAGACTTCAGCATTTTTGTAACTTGAGGGAAAGGAGCCAGTGAAAAGAGAGGTTGAAAGTAACAAGAGATGGAATAATTGATGTAGTCAAGTTCCTTGAACTTCCAAATGATATTCCTCAGAGGCTGTGAGGAATTAAGGATGGACAAAGCTAGCTCTGCTGCTCTATAGGCAGTATGACCTTGGGCAAATGACGTAACCTTGAGGTTAATAGTGTCTACCTCTTATAGGGTTTGAGAATGCTTATTATGCCTGGTAAATAATAAGAATTCAGAAATTGTAGCTAATATTACTGTGCAAATATTTGTAGATTTGTAGAAATATATATAGATATATTTCTGTAGACAGAAAGTTCTTTGATGGCTTCTGTTTTCTCTATCCTGCTAAAGGGAAAGGTAGAAGTAAAAAAAGAAACTACGAAAGATTGGGAAAAAGTTTGAAGTAGCCGTTATTGGAATACTAGAAGATCCTATTTAAGTTGGAATAAGTAGAAAAGATTGTCAAGAAGCTTTAAGAACATATTTGAGGGCCTGCCCAGTGGCGTAGTGGTTAAGTTCACGCGCTCTGCTTTGGCGCCCATGAACTTTGGGGTTCGCAGGTTTGGATCCTGGGTATGGACCTACGCACTGCTTATCAAGCCATGCTGTGGCAGGTGTCCCACATAAAATAGAGGAAGATGGGCACCGATGTTAGCTCAGGGCCAATCTTCCTCAGCAAAAAGAGGATTGGCGACAGATGTTAGCTCAGGGCTAATCATCCTCACCAAAAAAAAAAAGAAAAAGACCATATTTGAGATTGGAAAATATAAGTTTATAGTGGTACTAGTGGTAAATTGTAAGACTGGAGAGAGCAGAGTTTGGCTAATCCATGGTTGTGGGGCCTGACAGGGCTGGTGCAGCAAAGAGGAAAGGGTTATGGCATTTCCATCTTTGTCTTATGGTTCTTTCTGTCTAGAAGGCCCTATGCTTTTCTTTTCTGCTCTCCTATCTATCTCTCAAACCCTACCTCATAGCCCATCTCTTCAAATGCTTCACCAATGACCGAGTCCTACAGTTATTTATTTATCCTTTGAACTTCTGTAGCACTTAGAGTCTTTTTACCCATATCATTTATTTGGCAATTAACTAAACAACTTTGGCATCTTTTTAATTGTTTTCTTAAACTATTATTCTTATATCATTTAATTTCTGTGTGTGTGCATCTTCCACTTAAATTATAAGCTCTCAAGAACACAGAAAGTTAGTGAGACCACCAGGATTTTATATTTATTGGCAGCCACACAACCCCTAACACCCAGTACCTTGTTTGCAGTTGATTATCCTGTGGAAAATGTCGAAGGCTTTGTATAATACATTTAATATGATAGAAATAATCTGTAAAGAATTTACTACATCTGTAAAAAATTTATTCTTTGTTTTAGCCTATGAACAAAAAGCTGCCTATTTGCAAAGAGCCTCTGAGCCTATTTAGAGACATTTGGGGCCATGCAATCCCTCATATTTAAGTTATACTGGGTAAACAAACTAACCTAAGTTCTGCCTATAAGGTCCAAATTGCATTACATTGCCAGTAGACTCCCCTCCCCCCCCAACACTGTCTGTTGTAAAAAGCTATGTTTTAATAATAGACATATTTTAACAAAATCCTTGTTTGAGCCATTATGATGTTTTTCCCTTTTAGTGTGTCCTTACACATCCATTTTTTATGATTGTAATCAGTGTACATTTAATATTGTATTCTTTTTTTAATATTGTATGTTTCATGATTCAAGCTTCTTAATTATTTTATTAGCTGCATAATACTTATTAAATTGATACACCATAATTTACTTAACCAATATGTCAGTATACCTATAATAGGGAAAAAAATATTTTATTTATTTATTTGTGTGTGTGTGTGTGAGGAATGATTGACCCTGAGCTAACATCTGCCAATCCTCCTCCTTTTTGCTGAGGAAGACTGGCCGTGGGCTAACATCCATGCCCATCTTCCTCCATTTTATATGGGACGCCGCCACAGCATGGCTTGCCAAGCGGTGCGTCGGTGCGCGCCTGGGATCCGAACCGGCGAACCCGGGGCCGCCGCAGTGAAGCACGCGCACTTAACCGCTTGCGCCACCGGGCCGGCCCTGGGGAAAAAATTATTTGATTTTTTAGTATGAAGGATAATACTGCACTAAACATCTTTGTGCATATCATTTTTATCTTCTGACTTGTTTCCTTAAGAAAAATTCCCAGAAGTGGAATTACAGGATCAAAGGGTTTGAACATTTTATGGCTCTTAATATGTTCCAGTAGAATTTTTTTTTAAGAGTTGATGCAGCCATTGGTTTTGAATGGCCTGAAATGGATTTCAGTATTTGATCAGGACTGATAATCCCTTCAACATAGGGTTAGGTTGCCAGGTGTTTCAAAATTTGGATTTTATCATGTTCACTAGCTAATTTCATATTCTTTCTGTTTTGTGAAGTAGTTTTAAGACAGGTAATTATTTTGAATTAACTTTTCTGTTAATGCTTAGTGGAAAATTCAATGTTGTTATAACTTTCTTACCATATGCTTTGAATAAATATACATTACTGTTTATTTGTAGGACTTGATTAGAGACCAAGGGTTTCGTAGTGATGGAGGTAAGTAGTAATTTGAATTAAAAAAAAAAACTCAAGGAAAAATGCAATTGCTTTGCCTCTTGTCTCCTTTATATTTGCTTCTTTCATAAAACACAGACACAGAGAAAAATGTGTAGAGAAAACCCAAAATTTTTTTGTTTTTCTTTAGTGTTTATCATTTATCTCTAATAAAATTTTAACTAATTTATAATACGAGTAGAGGAAAGGAGATGACATAAAAGGGGGAGTCTTAAATGTACTATCTACAATTTTACAATGTTATCAAGGAGGGATCCTTAATTATTTTACTCACTTTATTAATTCCTGACTATCTCTAAAGCTGGAGATGCTAAATTTCCTTTGGAAGCCCTCACTAATACTTGAAGGTTGAGCTTAGAATCAGTTAAAACTTAACTTTCCTAAATCGTTCTTGGGGAGAATCCCTTGAATTGCATGTCACAACTTTTCCCACATTGTTAAACCACTTCCCAGCAGCCTTCTAAAAGGGCTTGGAATGTACTTTTTATAGAAAGGACCCATAATAGAAAAGCCCAGTTGCCCTCTTATAAGTCTAGTAAATAAAATAAACAAATGAGAAAATGAATTGAGATTTTTTTATGGAATTTTCATCTGATATTCACTCTACCACCCATTGAAAATTGAGGGCATAAGAAAACATTGCTTAAGAAAATACTTTTTTAAATAAGAATTTATCCCCATATGATGTTTTCTAAGAGATGGTATTTGAAACTATCTTGAAGTTTTCTTCCAGGTGGTCCAGCTGTCTTCTGTCTAATAAGGAAGACCTGCAATACCTGCTTATCTTTCTTAGAGTTGGTCTTTTCACTGTGACCTGCTTTATATTCAAAATATCTAAGCCTAGACTCTAAGATTGTATAAACCATCTTTTGTTATGTTTCTGTATACCTGTGAAGCTACCAAAATAATAACGCCGCACTGTATGCTCTGGAATTAGTGTTTACTATAGCACACAGTTAAAGAAGTTTTTTTTTTCCTGTTTGTTATTCCATGAACCCACCAATTAATGTTGCTGCCAACATGACTTCATATGTCTTAATAGCTGTGGCTTTTGATAATTTTACACAATACATCCAGCATTTAAATGTTGCCATCATGTTAGCATCACAGAGTTAACTTAGTCCTAAAAACTGCCTGCTTAACTACCTAAAATGAAGTGGCATTTCTTTCCTTTTTATGAGTCACTTTTAAAAAATCATTGGGATTTTATGAAAATAAGCAGATTTTTTAAACATCCAGAATTATCTTGTGAAGCAGGCTTCAATTCATCGTATTTATTCCCCATGACTTCTTTCATTTCTTCTGTGTGTCTGTCTTCCTGTGTTTGCCTGCCCCTCTGTTTCTCTTCTAACAGCCCCTTTGAACCAGCTGATGCGCTGTCTTCGGAAATACCAATCCCGGACTCCCAGTCCCCTCCTACATTCTGTCCCCAGTGAAATAGTGTTTGATTTTGAGCCTGCCCCAGTGTTCAGAGGTAGTTGGGCTCTTCTTTCTTGTTTTCACCCAAAGCAAACTAAATATAAACTACAGATACTGTTTGTGCCTCACCCTCACAGCGTGTGTTTGTAAGTGTGAGAGTTTTCAGTACTAAATTTCTGCTTGGCCTGGCTGGAATGCTCTGAATGTGCTTCTCACACATACTCCCTACCACAAGCTTTCTGTATGCTGTCTGTCATAAATTTTTAAAAGCAAGGAAATTGTAAGCTGAGATTTCCATCTTATTTTTTGTTATATTACTTACTTTTTTGGTCTTGATAACTTCTTATACTCAGGGAGTGGCAATAAGTAATGGGGGGGGGTCTTTCAAGCTGAATTCTTTTTATTTTAGTCCGTTTAAGTGATAAGCTTGATGACTACTAATGTTTGTTATCAATTTTCATGGTTTTTAAGAAAATAAAAATGGAAATGGAAGTCCCTATTAGGAGATTTTGCTAGACCTTTAGCTTTATTTTTCTGTAATATCAGCAGTGTTTTTTTTTTTAATGTAGGACATGTAATCATTTAGAGAGTTTTAAAAAAGATTTGTAATATATTTTGGTATTTTAGGACACCTCAGGGAATTTGAGGGTTTATATTTTCATATATTTATGACCTAATATGAGGGAAAAAACAGTATAATTTTACTCTCCCATTTCATCTTGCCATACTTTAATTAGTTGAAACTTATTTTTAAAAATTTACGTCAAAATTGAGACAGGTATCTTGCTATAAATATTTTTGAAGAATTATATTTACTGGCTCTTGCTAGTTAGTGTCTGTTACTTATTCTGAATGTAGTGATGGTGTATAAGGTTTTTGCTCTCCCAGCCCAGCGTTTCAGGAAATCCGTAGAATGGGCTGGAAATCATACAGTACTGAGTAGCATAATTAAAGTAAGTAATACCGTACAGTACTGAGTAGATCAGAACTGCGAAGTGTGGGCAAGCAGTTAGGTCTTTATGATGTTGAAAGTTATCATTGGAAGGTAGAAAATGGATTATGCTCTAGTTAATAGACATTTCAGATACCATTTTCTTTTAGAAAATTGCATACAAGATCATAGAAATTTCACATGTTGACGTATGTGATATAGTAATGATAAAATTTCTACACAGATTTAACATTTAAGTGTTGTCATTGGTAACCTTTTTCTTTGAAAGCATCTTTTTTCCCTCCTGAGAATAGTAATCATTTTTAAAAAAAAAATTCTAGTGAAGTCTTTTTGTTTTGTATATGCAAATATTACTTGACATCTCAGTCCTACTCAGCTGAACTCAGGCCCCACTGAGAGTCATTGCCCTGAACCCTTCTGAACCAGGCCCTACCTTACGTGAACTTAGGATTTTTGCTCAGTCAGCATTTGGAAAAGTACCCATCAGAAAGGTATGCAACCTTGCCAAGTGAGTCTACTTTCAAAGAGTGTACTCCTTGGACTCACTTGGCTTATAGAATACTTCTGTTTGTAGTAACTTGGCTGAGAGGCAATAGAACTTACTTTGCTCTCAGGAAACCTGCTTGGCTTTGTTTACATTAACTTTGGTATGCAGGTAACAAATAATCTTTGTTTAATAGAAAATGCCTCCAGGACCCAATGAAACTCACCAATATCTCTCACTCTCAAATAGTGTAGTATGTAGTGTAGGATTTTTAAAAATTTAAGCGGCTAATATGAAAGGGCCAGATATTTTCAATATTAAAGCCACTATTAGAGTATGTTTCCATTTGGGGGTTTCCATCTTTTTTTATATTGATTGGCTGTTGAGGTAACATAAAATAAGTAAAAGTCTACTTATTACGTAAGCTTTTAAGTTAATTTTGCTTTTGATTTTTTTTTTATCCAAGAGACAAACTTGGGAGTGTTTCTTAGTACATATTTATCTTTTTATTTTAGAGAGATTGTTTTTCTTTTAGATTCTGCACCAATAAGCAAAATATCTGTAACCAGATGTTTTAAAGGTCTTTAAATTGGCCAGAAAATGGAAAGAAATTATGGTACTGATACCAAATGAGGCCCACTTTTGGCCTGTCCTTTCCAGAAGTTATATGTTTGAACATGCACTGCATTTTTTAAATGTCTAAATCTACCTTCACCCTCTGCCCCCAATAAATTAACATACTCGATCCTTCTTTAACAGATACATTTTTCCTTTCACTAACTTAGGATCAACCACAGGTTTGTCTGCCACACCACCTGCCTCATTACCTGGCTCACTCACTAATGTGAAGGCATTACAGAAATCTCCAGGACCTCAGCGGGAAAGGAAATCATCTTCATCCTCAGAAGATAGGAATCGAATGGTGAGAGTATATGATATCTTTTCCTCTAAGTTCTTTCTTTTTAGAAGTCATAGCCAAATGTAATGTCACCTTTTAGATATATTGGTTTGTCCATATGTGACACAGAATTCCCATAATCAAATTTAAGAATTGATAGTTTTTTGCTTAAAGCATAGTCTCACAATACTGATTTTTGCTCTCAACTCTAATATAATTGAGTAAAAGGCAGTTTTGGAAGAGTAAGAATAGTGTTTTGTTTCTAAAATAAGGAAAAAGAGAGTAAGCTAGTATTTTAGAAAGCATGATTAGGCATATATGTTCTAAAGTGCTGGTCTGAAATTCAAATATCTACCAAATGACATTCTTCCCTATTTGAAAAATTAACTTTATGCTGCAAAATAAATCTATATTAAAAAGTAATAATTTAATTTTAGCAATAGTTAGATAAATGGATCCTTTACCCTACCAAAGTAATTATATATGTTGATAATTTTTTTTGAGAGGCTGGATCAGATAAAGGTATATGAGGAAATTTAGCACTGACTGGAAGAGAGTAGTAAGTAAATTATCAGCAGTTACCATAATATGTTAACTTAAATTTTGGCCTTTGGACCCAAAACTAGTCACAAATGTATAGTGCTTATCTTGTCCCTAGTAGTATTCCAAATGATAAAAAGCTGTTTTGTTTCATTGGTTTTAGTAATATACATTTCTGCTCATACCTAATAAATAACTTTTATTTTTTAATAAAATGTTTTCGTCCTGATACTGACTTAGGTCTTAAATTTAAGTTCTGTGTTTGTAAGAATCATACATCTTAACTATTATTCCTCTAGTATATGGGTTTGTTTGTTTTTTTTTTTTTAAAGATCTTATTCTCTTTCTAACTTATGTTCTTTTTAGGCATAGGGTAATGTACATAGTGTGAAACATAAGGTTTTCCTTTTTGTTTGCTTTGGCTTGACTTTTGCACTGTTTTTATCAAGAAAACACTTGGTAGACGGGATTCAAGTGACGATTGGGAGATTCCTGATGGGCAGATCACAGTGGGACAAAGGATTGGATCTGGGTCATTTGGGACAGTATACAAGGGAAAGTGGCATGGTATGTATGTAATATGATGACCTTGTCTCATGTCGTAATAATAGCATATGTTTAACAACTTTTACTTAAAAAATATCAAAGGGAGTATTCACTGTTTGCATCATTAAGCTTTTTTGATCAGATGCAAGAGTCCTCCAAAGGTTTCTAACAAAAATTATTGGAAATAAAAACTGGATTCACAGTAACCAGGATTCCTATCATGATATTAAACTAATAATTTTTAAAGATGGTGATCCTCCAGGTGAGCTAGTCCTCAAGATGTTTTTTTTTTTCCTTTTAGAAGTCTTTCTGCTGATAATTTTATTTGTGTTATAAGTCACAAACATATTAAATGTGTACTTACCAAAGGAAGAAATGGCAGTAAACCTATACAAAATGTTTGCCTCACTAGTTATCAAAGAATTGCAAATTCAAAAAATAGAAATCATTATTTGCCTTTCAAATGGGCAAAGATTTTTTTTTAATTGATCATATTTAGAATTATAATTGTAATGCTGGTGGGATAATAAATTGCTACAAATTTTCTGGAGGGCAATTTGGCAATATGTATATTGAGCCAACAATTCCATTTGTAGAACTTTATAATAAGAGTAATTGGACAGGAACAAACAGATGAGTGTACAAGTATATTCATTAGAGATTTAATGTTAATGAAAAATGGAAATAAACTTTAAGTGCCCATTAATAGAGTATTGGATAAATAAATTGATAACCTCCATAGATGGTTATATAGAAATTAAAATCATATGATAGATCTATATTTATTGATATGGAGAGGTGCTGGTGGTATATTAAATTTTACAAAGCAGCATATATGATATCCCATGTGATGGTGCTACATAGAAATATATATAAAATAATTTTTAAAATAATCATCAGTATTTTAGTATATATCTTTTTAGGTTATCTTTTCATATGTATTTATAAATATACTGCATACATATAAAAGCCTAGTAGAATATACATCAGTATATTAACAATGGTCATTTCTGAGTGACATGATTATGGGAGATTTTTATTTTTTTCTTTATGCTTTCAAAATGTTTAATTTTTTACTATGAGCACCATATTACTTTGATAATCAGGAGAAATCAGTGTTAATTTAATTATGTTAGAGTATAATATACGTGCAAAAAAATGCACATAAGAGTACAAGTAGCTAAAATGTCACAAAGTGAACACATCTCTGTTCAATAAACAGAAGATTACCGCTTCCCCTAAGGATAACTACTATCCTGACTTTAACAGAAATCATGCAATATGTACTCTTTTGTGTCTGGCCTCTTTCCCTCAACATTGTTTATAAGATTCATCTATATTGATGTGTTTAGTTGTAGGTCATTCATTCTCTATATAGTATTCATTGCATGACTAAAACATGATTTCTTTTTCTGTCTACTATTTGATGAGCATTTGAATAGTTTCCAGTTTGGGGCTATTACGAATGCTGCTGCTATGAATATTCTTAGTACATGTCGTTTGGTGAACATATGTGTTCATTTGTGCTGGGTATATACGTAGGAAAGAATTGTGGAGCCACTGGGTATGCATATGTTCAATTTTAGTAGATACGTACTGCCAACTGTGTTTCAAGTGGTTGTACCAATTTACACACCCACTGGCAATGTGTGAAAGTTCTTCCTGTTTCACATAAAGTTCTTCTTTAAATTGTAATAATTTTCCTAAGCAAAAGCAACAAGTGATCCATGGATTTTAAAAAAACGTTACCTACTCTGATAAAGAAGTATTGCAGTTTTCTGTTTCAACCAAGGTCTGTTGGACCTGTCATCTGTAGTTTTAGCATTCAGTTAGTAAATATTAAGTAACCAGGAAAATACCATGGGTACTTAATTTGTTAAACTGAATTTCCAGGGGAAAAACAAGGTTGGCTATTTTTTTAGATTAGTATTTTGAAACACTAATACAGGAGTATCATTGGTAGTTTAGTTTTTATCCTTGGAAAATTAATGCAGTTTAGGAAGTTAAGGTATAATTTATTTACAATTTAATAATGGATTTAAGACTGTGGTAATTAGTGAAAATACCAAAGAGTTTTTTATATTTTTAAGTTGAAAAATTGGAATGACATTTGGAATGACAATTACCTTTTAGGTGATGTGGCAGTGAAAATGTTGAATGTGACAGCGCCCACACCTCAGCAGTTACAGGCCTTCAAAAATGAAGTAGGAGTACTCAGGTGAGCTTGTGTGAATTACTGTTTTCCAGAGAAGTTATCTTCATCAGTTCCTCTTTTCCAGTGGTAGCCACTGTTAGCTTTACAGATTTACTCAAAATAGGCAAAACAGAGTTTGTCTGAGTATATTTTGTCTTTAATCATATTCTTTTAAGTGGTATGCAGTATTATATGGTACAGCTGATAGAAGAATTAATCCTAGAGTGAATTAATGGAAATATAGTATTCTGCTCATGAGAAATAATACTTCTGCTTATGAAAATAATACTCTCAAAATTCTAATCTTATCAGAACACATCTAGAGATTACATCAAGCTCTGGAACTTGAGGAACATTAACAAAACTAGAGTATGTCCAGGCAAAGATGACTTATGGAGAGGATTCTAGAACTATACCTTAGGGGAAAAATAGTCAACAGAACTGAGGATATTTAGGTCCATAGAAGGGTGTTACGTTCAAGAGGGTACAAACTTACTCTGTTTTATTCCAGAGAGCGGAATGGGGAAGCAAGCCAGTGGTGGAAGATGTAGGAAACTGATTTTTTCTAAACCCAAAAAAGCTTTCTAATACTAAAAGCGTAGGCTACAGTCTCAGTGATGAAGTTCTCATAATTGAAGGTATTTAAGCAACCTCTAGTTGCCTATCTGTGAGATATATTAAAAATGATATTTCTGAAAAGGGTAGGATGTCAGACTAGACACTTCCTAAAGTCTCTTCTAAAGTTATCTTTTTGTTGCCCTTGTAAAAAATAGCTTTTTTGTAACAACATTTTACTGATAAGTAGGTTGCTTTGGCCCCCTTTTTTAAGATTTGCTAAAGTTTATCAATATTTACCATTTACTGTCACATTTCTTTTTACAGGAAAACTCGACATGTGAATATCCTACTCTTCATGGGCTATTCAACAAAGCCACAGCTGGCTATTGTTACCCAGTGGTGTGAGGGCTCCAGCTTATATCACCATCTCCACATCATTGAGACCAAATTCGAGATGATCAAGCTTATAGATATTGCTCGGCAGACTGCACAGGGCATGGAGTAAGTTCTGTTCTGTTAAATCTCTTGTAAGTTACTTTTGAAGACCACTGAGGGTGTTTTAAAAGTTTTAGCTAATATTCTTTTGGATTACTTTTTAAATTACTGTCCAGCAACATGGATACTTGTGACTAATGGCTAGCAATATGAATTAAAAAATAAAATAGTCTCTATCTAGTACAGTTTTCAAACATATATCAAGTATTTGGTAATAAATATGTGACTGCAAACTTATGTTTAGCATGTAATGATTTAGCTAAGCAATAAAAGTTCAGAAAACAAAAATAAGCCCAAAAAACCCACCACTGAAAATTCGTTAACAGTTATTGAAGTATATAAAATGATAATTAGTTATCCTTTCAAATTATTTTCTCCATGTGCCCATATTTTCTGTTGGAAAATGGTCATCTGCAATCAAATAAAGTGAAATGAAGGTAAAGTAAAATGAAAATATGCATTCTGATCCTACTTGAGGATTTCAAATTGAGTTGTTCATATCCATTGAATTTTGCTATATAATTTAAAAGATAAAAAGTTACTTTATAAAATTTGTTATAGGCCAAAATAGGGAACTGACTAGGAAGGATAAATTTTGCATGCAACTCTTAAGTACAAATGAATAGGGTAAATCGAAAGGTAAAATTAATTAATTTTGAAAGCATTTAGACAAAAAATTTTGAGTAAAATGTAAGTTTGAAAGCTCTGCGTAGTTCAAAAATATGTGTGTATCTTAGTTTAACATTTTATAGTATACAAATGGCTTTCACATGCATAGGTCATTATGTCATTTAATCTTTATAATGTTATGGAGTAGATATTATTTTCTTTTTACAGATAAGGAAACAGGTTTTTAAATGGCTTAAGGCCACACATTTAACAAGTGGCAGCATACATGTGTAACTCAGAATTTCTGACTCTCATCCATTATTCTTTCCCCATAATCACTATGCTACTTATACATTATAAAATTAGAATAAAACGGTACATATGTACTAACACCTAGAACTCCGACTCAAAATCACTTATAGCAAGTAAGTGTAGAACCAAGACTCAAAACCATATCTGGTTCTTAAACCTTCCCACTGTCCTACCCTCTCTGTCTCAAAACTAAGAAATATATCTATAATTTAGATTGTTTACAAGCCTGTGTTCAACCAAAATGCTTATTGCAGCAAGTTATTACCTTATTCAGTAACATTTCCACTTAGCCACTAGACTTGAAACATTCTCAGCCTTTCATATAAGTTAGAATCCAAATCTGTTCAAATCTGAAAGGTTATATTAAAATCTTGTGAAAAGTAAACCATGGCAAAAATAGTAAACATTGAGAGAGAAACAAAGCTTATTCTACTCCCACCCCACTGGTGTCTGCTCTTTCTTCAGTAGGCCAAGCCTGCTGCCTCCTCAGGGCCTTTGTACTTGTTATTTTTCTTTTGGGATACTCATGCTTCAAATATCGGTAGAGCTTCTCTCTTACGTCTCTGTTCAAATGTCACCTTTTATGAAATAAGCCAGACAGAGAAAGACAAACACCGTATGATTTCACTCATATGTGGAAGAGAAACAAATACATAGATAAAAAGAACAGATTAGTGGTTACCAGAGGGGAATGGGGTAGGGGTGGGGCAAAAGTGGTAAAGAGGCACATATATATGGTGATGGATAAAAACGAGACTGTTGAGGGTGACACAGTGCAGTCTATACAGAACTTATATATAATAATGTACACCTGCAGTTACACAATGTTATAAACCAATATGACCTCAATAAAATAATTTTTTTAAAATGTCGCCTTTTAAAAGAAGCCATCTCTGATCAGTTTATGTAATGAACATGTTCCTACCCCACCCTATCACTCTCTATACCCCTATCCTTTGTGGGTTTTTTTTATTTTTTTTTAAACACCGAACTCCATATGACATATTTGTTTATTGTCTGTCACCCCCACTAAAATACAAGCTGTATGAGAGCAAAGGCTTTGTTTTGTTCATTGTTTTATCCCTAATGTCGAGAACAGGTCCTGGCCTATGATAGGTACTCAATACATATCTGTTAAATGAAAAAATGAAAGAATAGTTACACACAACTGCATAGTATTGATAGGTTTACCTTCCAGAAGAGAGAGAAACCAAATCCTTCTCATATCAAAACCGAGAAATGTCAAGGAAAGGAAAAATAGTCAAACAAGTAATAAAAGAATAACAGAGGGGAAAAGCCTTTTGCTATAAAGAAGCAGCAAAGAATAGTTAAAAATAGTATAAAAATTGTTTTTAGAAACACTGATGGGGCATTGAAGTGCCAATATTGATTAAGACAAGAAGTGACAGTAGAAAGGAAAACTATCAAATTGCAGTAGTTCTATAGTCTGGGAGATAGTCAGTGAAGAGGCAATATTTTACTGTTGCTTTGACACTTTGGGATCTATAAGTGTAAACCTTTACAGTCTATTTCTCTACTCCTAAATACTTTGCTTACATTTTTAAGTAACTCTCACTATATAGTGAGTATACCTGGCTATGAATGTAGATCATCCCATTAGTTCATCCTAGATTTTAATAGCTGAAAAAGTATTAATTACAAATTTTAAGCTTTCTAGCAGAGTATTTTTTTATTACCAGCTTAAAGTTAACCAAAGAAGATACAGTTCTTTTTTTTTTTCCTTTCTGTTGTCTATAAGATGAAAACATGCAACTGGTTAAATGTACCAATACACCTTTAGTTTCTGAGGGCTTTGGCAGATTGAAGATCTTCTTATTAAAATAGCTATATGAGTTTCAGGTTAAGGTGACTGATTTTTGTTCTCCCTTGAAACTCCGCTAAAACTACAATAAGGGAATTTTTTTTAAGCATGTACATATAAAAGATGGAGATAACAGAGAGGAAGGAAACAATAGCAACAACATTTTAAAAGCTGTAAGGCAGATGGAGAAGTGATAATGGACTTAGTACACCCAAAAAAGCTAAATCATTAGTTGGCAATGGGGAAATGAAAACCAACTTGATTTATACCACAGAGTCCTCAAAAGTCTCAGGCATTGGCAGTGCCAGGTATCTCCGGAGGAAGAAGGGTACATAAATGAAAAGGCTTGTCTGAAAAGCTTCTCTAAATCCCATCTTCTGCTCTGTGCCCATAGGTGACTCCCCCATTCCTACCCTGGCATCTCTGGACTGGGGACATGGACATGGATACTTGACCAGAAATGGGGATTGAGTGACTGCTTACTGAATGATGAATGGAGAGTTCCCCAGCACTCTCGTTTCATTTGGTTCTCAGAAGGCTAACAGCCAAACCTTCCCCTTCAGGAAGGAGGTTGGAAGAATCTTCTCTGAGGACTCTTACCAGCCAAGAGGAAAGACCCAAAGTTAGTGACATTAGGGATTCCACCTAGATCACTGTACAGGGAAGTTCAAAAACAAAAAGCCCATCTATATACTCAAAGCTGTCAGACAGCTTTTTAGTCCCCTACTTACTAGTCTGAGTAAGACAAATTATCTCTGGATCACCAGTCATTGAAGGGAATGGCTCTGATGCCAATGAGAGAGACCAAAATAGACACGTTGGGAGTGGAAGGGGTGGGCAAGTAGGAATCGACAAACAGTGCAAGGGGAAGAGATACTCCCGCCAAAAAATATCAATTTCCTCAGAGATGATAGAAGATTTTCTGTCCATGAAACAAGAACAGATGCTTTATAAGGAACATTCAGGTAACAAAAAAATGTTAAAATGTTGATATTTACAGTACACTAGAGATTATATCCTTTGCAATTATTTAAACTTAACTTTTAAATATCTGGTTCCTCCTCCCCAATTCTCCACCATCATTTCACAAAGGACAGAACAAGCTAGACATAGCTGACCAATAAGTCCATAGACTATAAATAGCAGCTTAATAATGTACTTTTGCAAAGCCCTCATTTCAAAATAGTCTGCCCCCTGAATGTTTTCCAGATGCTGTTAAAAGTGGTCTTTTCTGACTACTTTCCAAAATTTATTCTAAAGTCACAGGGTATAAGCAGAATAAGAGCATACTAGCTCACTGTATAAAGTGGTGGGTTTGCAGTTGTTCATAAGATAAAACTTTTAGTAATTAGGAAAGTTGAATCATTAGGACTTTCAAATGAGTCACCTTTATTGGATTACAGAATATAAGCAGACATTGGATGGGTGACATTTTTCCTGTGTGGTTCTGTCTTCTTTCCTCAGTAGTAGATCATTTCTGATTTCTAGGTTTACCTGAAGAGAGCAGAACTATTCTAATGGTAGATAATTATACACTCACTCTTTGGAATCAGAGTTCGTGTGGTATGTTTATCATCGTCTCACCTGAGAGTCATTGATTCAGCCTAAGGGCCAAGGTATTTTAAGAATATTGTTACTAAAGAAATTTCAGGAATGGTCAATCCATCATGCCATTTCTTTGTAGGACTTTTAATTTCAGTATAATATTTATGGTATAAATTTTAATTTAGCTTTATTATAAAATTTACTGAATGTTAAATCAAGGAGTCACATAGAGAAAGTTGCCTGTTGTTTACTCACAGAAGTGTTATATTCTGAATGTAAGATGATTCAAAATAATTTGCAGTGTAAAAAAAGACAAAATTGTCCCATTTGCAACAACATGGAAATAAGCCAGAAAGAGAAAGACAAACACCACATGATTTCACTCATATGTGGAATATAAACCAACACATGGACAGAGAGAACTGTATGGTGGTTATCAGGGGCAAAGGGAGTGGAGGGTGGACACAAGGGGTGAAGGGAGACATATATATGGTGATTGACAAACAAAAATGTACAACCAAAATTTCACAATGCTATAAACTAGTAAGACGTCAATTTAAAAAAAAATCAATGTCATAAAAAAAATAAATAAAAAATAATTTGTGGTGGGCCAGCCCGGTGGCACAAGCAGTTAAGTGTGCATGCTCTGCTTCGGTGGCCTGGGGTTCGCAGGTTTGGATCCCAGGTGCGTACTGATGCACCGCTTGTCAAGCCATGC